AAGTGCGGCGCCCAGAACTGGACGCAGTACTCCAGCTGCGGCCTGACCAGTGCCGCATAGAGGGGGAGGATCACCTCCTTGGACCTGCTCGAGATGCATCTGTGGATGCATGACAAGGTACGGTTGGCCTTCCTGACTTCATCCCCACACTGCCGGCCCATGTTCATCTTGGAGTCAATGATGACTCCAAGATCCTTTTCCGCCTCTGTACTGACAAGAAGGGAGTTCCCCAGCCTGTAGTTGAACTGCATTTCCAGTGTAATGGATCAGCAACAGTGTAAGCAGCAATAACGTGTAGGAGTAACAGCATGGAAGGCTCTGGAGAACTGCAGCCCACTCAGGAAGTCAGACCAACTTGCTTAGATATGCATTGCTTGAAGCCTTCTGACACCTGCCCGTTCACACCTCTCAGCAGGGTTTCATGCATGTGACTCCAAAATCTTTTAGTCTAATAAATCAAGGAAGAACCTGTTTGAGCAGAGGCATTTTGCCAAGTATGAGATCCTCCTGATAGGACAAGCAGCAGAACTTCTCACCAGAGAAGAGATCAGCATCTGAATTTGAAGTCTCAGATTGTTGCAGGAACAGTTAACAGCCACCCCCAGAGAAGTAAAAGTTTGTGATGCTATCAGCACAATATCAGGCAGCTTTTCTGCTTCTGCCACTCCACTACTTGATGCTTGGGTAGAAGGGGCTATGGAAACAATGCGATTCACCAAGCATCACACTGAGACAAGTAGTACTCCTCAATCTAATAGATGGATGAATGAATTATCATGTGGTTCTATTATTGAATCAGTGAAGAAGCAGCTCTAAAAGGACTCTGTTGGGGATGCACCCTGCACCTACTGAAGCAAATGGGCAAGCCCTCATGGATTTCAGTTTGCAGACAGATGGAACCTGGCACATACAGTACTGAACTATGGGTTCCAGTGTCACTGTGAAACCCATTCTCCTCTGGTCTTAATCAAATATAATTTCCACAGGACACTGTCATTGCCATAAGGTAGGAATTCTCTTGTCCTGGGAATTTGCTAAGCCTTTAATAAGACAGCTCATTTCCTTTATAAAAATACATGTTACCTCCATGAGCAAGTCATGTCCCAGCCCCACTGTTTTGCTATTGCTTGGGTTTTTAGTCTTCTTTGGTAGAAGGAAAACTGGAAAGGAGAACAAAACAGAGGCCTCTAAAGTGTTAACAGACTCTAGTCTTGAATCAGGGGTTTTGCTGCAGTACTGATTCCATTTCCCAGGCTCCATTTCACACACTCACCAGAGGCCTGACAGTGAATCACTAGAATATTGGCCATCTCTGCAAACTTGACACTGGAGGGATTCTTCTTGATCTCCTTAAGGAATTCCCCAAGTGCCACTTCACACCTGCAAAAAGAAAGGACATTCAGAGATTATCTTGCTCTACAGAAACAGAGGACTACATGGGCCAACCTCCTGAAATCAATGAGCCAAGGCTTCACCCATCACGCATGTAAAACCTCATTGACAGACAAGCTACAGCAGCCCCCTGCACTAGCAGTGGTAAGTACTCATCCTACAAACAGTGTGCTCATTTTACTACGTTACA